TTTGCTCCACCCACATCACAGCCAAGTCGTCCCGGCCACACCGTCGTAAAAGGCTGACGTACACGAGTGGGTGCACTGATTGAACTGGCAGAGGACGCAAGTGCGTGCTTGCTCTGCTAACAAGTGACATGGGTTGCATCCAACAACTAGTGGAAGCGAAGAGCTGGACCGCACCGGTCCTTGCGGGCCTCACGATGAGGGGGCCCGGCGGGGGGGTTCTTCAGCTCTTCCAGGGTCCCCGTTCCGATTCCCTCTATACACTGCCACGATCGACTCGATTAGGGTAGGCTCTACTGTGGCAGCTGAACGAAGGAGCAGATCACATCCCATTGGATTGCTACAGTCGCCATCCCAAATCAATCGCTAGGAGGCAAAATGCACACCACCCCGCGCCAGGGCCACGCCGGCGCCAACCCCCAAGGCATCGTCTCTCATCTATCGCCATTGGAGAGCTCCACAAGCTCCTGGACTGACGTACCTTAGCTTCATCAGCTTGCCGTCCCCAGGCCCCTCTGTCATCGATTGACTGCTCCCGGCCTGCCCGACGTCGCCCCAAGCCCGAGCTTGCTAGGATCTAGCTGCGAGATCAGAAGAATGCGGAGAGAGGGTCTTCGCAGAGAGGATTTTATGAACCACCCAATTGCTGATCTCATATAATCTGCGCCGAAATCCCCTCACGAAGTTGACGGAGCTTCGTACTTCAGCCGTGGACTTGCCCCTCCTTTGTTTTGACCTGTGCAACCCCTCCCCCTCCACCAGCACCTTACCGCCGCCACCACTACCACCATCACCAACTTTCGTGTCATTGACGGATCAGCGTTGCACTGAAGATGCCTAATATCACCATTCGCAACCTGACGGTGCAGGCTTTGACTCTCAAACGTGTTGAGCGTTTTGGGGCAAAGCAGGTCACAACGGGCAGTACTCTTGGCAACGCCATTGGCAATATCACGTCTCTCCTCAACGCCACAAGCTTCAATTCAACTGAAATTCACCCTGAAGGCGAGGCGCGCGAGAAGAAGGATGTCGACATCAAGATCAATGCTTTTTCTGCCCAGGGCACCGACTTCCCAGCTCCGCAGGAGGACAAGGAGGTTGTGCGCCTGCTGTTCGAATGCGACGGCAAGTGGTACGAGGTCGACACACCCTCCAAGTCGGACAGGTCAGTCGTCATGACGCGCTTGACCAAGGACGACAAGCGCGAATTCACGGCCGTGTACATCGAGCGCCATCAGTTCCTGGCCATCATGTCGTCCTCGAACCTCCACGCCTGGATGAAGGAGCTCAAGGACAGCTACCCTCTGCCCTTCCTCTCGATCCCCGGCACCCACAATGCGCCCACCTGCTACACAGCCCTCCCGTCCGTCCGCTGCCAGGCTGTCGGCATCACCGAGCAGCTCGAGAACGGCGTGCGTTTCTTCGACATTCGCGTCTCGGCCACCCCCGACAACGACAACCTCGCCCTCGTCCACTCGGTCTTCCCCATCTCTCTGACCGGTACCAAGTGGTTCGCCGACCTACTCACCGAGGTCTACGCCTTCCTCGAGCGCAACCCCTCCGAGACGCTCATCATGTCCATCAAGCGCGAGGGCACCGGCAAGGGCTCGGACCACGACATGTCCCGCTACCTGCGCGACCGCTACATCAAGAAGAACTCCAACCGATGGTACACGAAGCCGCAGATCCCCGCCCTCGGCGACGCCCGCGGCAAGATCGTCCTCATGCGCCGCTTCCACTGCGACGACAGCGTCAACAAGTCGGAGAATGACGGCAAGGGCATCGGCATCGACGCCGCCCACTGGCCCGACAACTGCGAGGACGGCAAGACGGGCGGCGGCGGCTTCGTGCGCGTGCAGGACTTTTACGAGGTTGACCAGAGCACCAACATTGAGAAGAAGATCAGCTACAGCCACGCCCAGCTCGAGCGCGCCGCCGAGGCCCTGTTCCGCGCCCCCGGCGCCGAAGGATACGAAAAGGGACGCCGTGTCGCCGCTGTTTGTCAACTTTCTTGGAGCGGCCAGCAATTTCTTCAACGCCACGTGCTGGCCCCGAGCGCATCG